GATGCAGTCACTGTCAGTACCGTAGCCAATACGATGGCAAGATTCTAATCTAGCTAGGAATCCAGCAGGAAAACAAGCATCGTGTGCTGCAAGCTTTAGGTTGGGAACTTGTTCCGCACGCGGCGTATAGCCCAGACATGGCGCCTTCCGATTACTACCTATTCCGGTCGCTGCAGCATCATTTGGCTGATACACATTTCGTGAGATTAGAAGAAATACGAAAATGCATTGATGACTTTATCGCTTCGAAGCCGGTGAGTTTCTATCATCAAGGAATTCGCAAGCTACCCGAAATATGGCAAAAGGTCGTTGATGCAAACGGAGAATATTTCGCTGATTAATATTTTTTCGTGTGTTTTTGAATAAAGATTGAATTTTACAAAAAAAAGCTCAGAACTTTTTTGTACACCTAATAATATTTATTTCTGTATTTTTCATTGTTGTTTCTAATTCTTGCGTTGTTCTATCTTTTCTCTTTTAAATCTCGTTCTACTTTCGTTATTTGTATGTATTTCGGTAGAAATAGAGAGCATATAGAGGAGAGAAACTATTATAGATACTGAATAGAATAAATATATCAGATTATTAATAGATATAAACGAAACTTTTTTCTTTCCTATAGATCTTTCGAATAGACTAAATTAAATAGAAGAAATTCTTCCCCCCTTACAAGTAAAGAAAAATGAAAAGACAATGAATTGACTAAAACAGAATATATATGAAGCAAGCAAAAGCGAAGAAAACCAAAGTAGAAGAGAGAGAGAGAGAGAGAGAGAGAGAGAGAGAGAGAGAGAGATAAATGGTCAAGAATGTTTTTATTAAATTTATTTTGGGTACAATTTATGTCGCATCGGATGGTTATACATTTGATAATGGAAAAACACAACTGCACTTCTCTTATTTATATTATACGTCTCTTTTCTATTCAGTGCCAATAAATTAATGCTTGTTCCAGCAACCGCACATGTTAAATAACTACATATAACAAAGTATATAAGAGCGAAGTTTAATAACGGAGCACAATGACGAGTTTTATACGGTGACATTCAGTTCTTCCGCCACCTTGTGGAAAATCAGAACGTCCCTCATGTGGAAATTGGGTACGGTGAAGTTGGAGGCATAAACCGGTCTGTCGAGAGGATATCCCAATGGTAGAAGGTCCATCATTCTTGGACCCCAAATGGGAGAATCCACCTTGATGGCTCTTGTCTCATCAAAGTATGACACGCACACGAAGAGTTTGAACGACATGCCTTCTTTCTTGCCTTTAGGAAGTATTAAACGGTCGGGGAAACCGTAAATCTGACCTGGGTAAGTGAAAGTCTCGCCACCCTCGATAGCTTTCATCACCTTCTTGTACAGAACCTCGCTTGGCACCTCATCCGGAACGACGTAGATAGACTCGTAGCTATTGCGCTCAATCTTGTTGGTTCCAGGTTTCACTGTAACAATCAAGCGACACTAGTTACGGTCTTATAGTTAAAAAGTTATTTGAAATAAATGTTATACGTTTGATTGAGAAAAGTTAATTAAAGAAATTTTATCAATCAAGGATTTCTTAGCAAAAGAGATACTAACGGTCAATGTTCCATTGATCCATCTCGAAAAAGTTCATATAATTCTCGCTTATATCCAGTTCGTGGCCGTGAACATCGTATTTGGGTCCAAGGAAGACACGAACGACCGCCTTGACATTTTTGTCGCTGTTAACGGTGATGTGATAGGTAAAAGGTTTATGATTGAGACGATATTGACGAGCCTTTATCAATAAAGATTGAGCCTCCTTGTGACTGCGTACCGATACGGCATTGTTGAGCATTGATTCAAAATCGTCGAAGAAAGTCAACAGCTTGTCAACGGTGACGGATTCGATCGTAACACCCGGGAAAACAAGTTCCTCGTGTGTGTAGCTCGGCAAGTGTTCCTTATATCTACGTCGGAGAATATACGTCGGTTAAATAAATAATTTCAAGCTATATTGAATTGTGCAAAGTCACAAATTTAAGTCGCACCTCATCCAGTAAGTAGCGATATTCTTCTGGATTCCATAGAACACGGGATCCCTTAGGGTGGTGGAGAAAAGTTCGAGAGCAGTGGGAACTGTCGTGTGTTTAGTGACCTGAATCGGGCCCATACCGAGAACTTTTTTGTATAAACGTTCCAACTGTCCATAGTACACGGGATCGACGGAATCGGCATTGCCCTGTATCACGTTGCCAAGATAGTTGAAACCTGCATCTACGGTGTTGTAAATGTCGATGTGTTTGCCATGCATGTCAATGACGTAACCTTTGTCAATGGCATCAGAAATGCGAGTGTGGACATCTTGTATGGCCTATGGGACAGTTGCAGACACATTAGAATTTAATTAATCTATCTCATTGTAAGAAATGTTTTTTTTAATATTTAATTTTCATTCTTAAAAAACGTTTTAGACCTCTGCACTGAGATATCTACATGCAAGTATATCGAAAATATATACCATCCGTTTATCTCAGAAATATTCTCCCAATATTATTGGATATTTTTAAGGTTGACAAGTAACGCGTTACTTGATAATAGGGAGTTTTTGCAATAGCGTTTATTCAGATACAGTGAACGCTAAGGTCAGGTTATCTTCTTCTTAACAACTAATTAAGAAAAGGATAGCGTTCACCGTATCTTAGTAATTCACATTATTGCAAAAACTCCCTATTGCCATTACCATTATCGTTATTGGTTTCGGTAACGACTGTTACTTTTTTCTGTCTGCAATGGTAACAGTTGTTACATTTTTATGGTAACAATAACGAATTCGTTACTTTAATTTTCTATTATTTTTATCTATTACACATATGTGTATATATATATGTATATAAATTCCTAGAAATAAATAGAGGAAGGTCACCGATACCGACTTACCACTTTGTTTTTAGACAATATTTCTTAAACAAAAAGTAAAAATACAACTTCCAAAACATAAATACAAACTAAAAGTGTCTTCTATCAGATAATATAAACAGTTTTTATAATACTGTTTGCAATTTTGCAATAATTAAGTTTTTCGTAAGTTATACAAAAATGAGCGTCTGACAAAATGGGCTCCACTGACATAGTAGGCAATAATGCCAACATTCCTATTCTATAAATAAAAATATATCCTATTCTGTAAAGAAAACTAATTTATGAAACTATAAACATTTAAACTGACATAATATCATCAATAATACAGTCACTATTATTTTAATTACGCAATTTGCAAAAGAACACCGTAAGAATTTTTTTCTCGGATTCATAGAATTTGTTTTTAGCTGATTTGGTATAGAAATAAGCCACAAATATATGAATTATGATCGAGTTTGTACTTCTTTAATTATAGCTAAACAGATCACGTTTTTATTAGTATTAATAAAGTGCAAAGGTTAGTTTCTAAGAAATAAGGGAATGTCGCTTTATAGGAGACTTATGTCAGTATCGGTGACCTTCCTCTATATGTTATAAGAAAAAAAAATATTAATATAAAGAATTACAGAAGATTTATTAAATAAGTTTAATATTAAAGTAAAGCTTGCTATAAAGATTAGCTTAGACTTTTGAGTCTTAATACCGATTGTTAGAATTTATATTGGTTATTAAAAATGTAATTTTTAAATCTAATTACTTTAACATTACAAAAAATAACAAATCTTTACTTTGAAAATTAGTAATGAATATCAAGTTATACATTTTACAAAAAGTAATGATAACGCGCCGCATTATTTTTATAGAGTAATTATAGAGTAATATTCCCAATCCTGAATATTTCTATAATCCTTGTGATATTTGTATGTGGACACTTGGACAGTTGATAATTGATAAGGAAACACTTTACAAACCTGGATATATTTGTGCGCGTAAAGAGGAATCTCGGAACCAACGTGACGTTGTGGGAACGACAATCCATTGTGATGCTGCATCGTTGGATAGTAGCTGGGAACAATAGGCTTGTTCAAATCGACGTACATGATCTCACCCATATCATTGGACAATCTTTCCAAATAGTAGCGATTGAGCATTTGTTTGTGGTCGAATATATACGATTCGCCACGAATGTGTTGGGGCATATTATAGTGAGCGCTGTTCATCCAGATTGGGAAATTGTGATTCATTGCAAAATAGAACGTGTTTAAACCGATATCCTCGAGGAAGTAATTTAATTTTTGTTGTTCCGGCATTTCATTTCCAAACGTATGCCAACTAGTGTAATTGGAAGGAATGTAATAATAGTCTGCATTACCAATTATTTTCTTCATACCTGCCGAGCCAAATAGTTTAAATTAATATTTTAATACATTATTATATATAACTTTCTTTTAATTGTTATATATTGTCTAATGCAAACTAGTTTGACTTAATCTCAATAAGAGACATTATAGAACATTTGTTTCTAGAGCCTAAATTGCGCTAAATTGTATGTGTATACTGTAGCTATATATTACTTTTAAATTATTTAAGATAAAAAAAATAGATTTTGAGAGAGGATATTTACTTATTTTTTTATTTCTTTGATTGGGAGTATATATAAAATTTACTGAACAATGTGTACAATTATTTTTTAAATAATTTAATTTTAAAAAATTCAATACATAAAAAATAAATGTGGAAAAATTTCAAAATAGATTAGTCGTTGATAAGACAATTTTTATGTTAATGAATAAATATTCAATTCTTGACTAATATACTAACCTGCTTGCGAATCGCCCATCGCAATACGATAGGCTTTATGCAAAACGTCCTCGTTGAAGAAGTAATGTGGGAATACCTCGTAAATCGGAGGCAGAAGGATGTTATTGGTATCCGGCCGATGAATCGTGGCAACACTCAACACATATTTGTACATACATTCGTTTATGTGAAAACGTGCCCATACTGCAGTATTGTAGAAAGTGTCAAAATCTTTGGCGGAATATAAAACGCGGAAGAAGCAAACCGCTTCTTGGTAATGCTGAGGGTGAGTTCCAGAAAACACTTCTCCCCGTGGGAGCATTCCGTGTTTCCATCGCTGCAGGAATTCAGTCACTGCCGCCTAGAATAACAAATCAACATATATAACATATATAACATATATATAACATTACATGATCTTCTTTTACAACTATACAAACAATTTTTATGTTATTTTCAAAATTTATGATTTTATTACGAGATCAAATAAAAAAGACGGGAAAATTAATTTTTCCTTATAGAAACAGAAATTAAAATTTCAATTTATAAAAATTAATACAGACATTAAAACACATGGTATAAAAAACATTATAATAAGTACCTGATCTGTAAAAGAAGCAATGTTATCTTCGAGGCTGAAGGATCGCGCCTTTTGGTAAAGTTCCGGATGGTAGACGGTTGGTTGATCAACGTGCCAGAAGAGCTCATAGATACTCTTCTGCTTAAGAAGATGTGTCTTATCGGCGGTTTGAGTGGGCACCTGCGTGGCATGGGCCAGGCATGCCGTAGCCAAAAGCAACGCAATCACTTTCATCCTCGTGCTTGCTTCGCAAAGGATCGATTAGTGCTATGCGTTAATTGCTTTATATACTCTCCATCGACGAAGGAGATACATACAAAAGTTCGGAGTGCAAGATTAAAAAAGCCATGAGGTAACCAGCCTACCGATAATAACCAATCTTTCTGTTATTTTTGTAATAATTATCTTTATTGGTAATCGTCTACCCTTTGACATGATGAAAATCCGGGATTCATATTTGTTGTTACACTCCACCTCTATTCATATATCATGCTTTATTTCAATTAAAAATAATTAACTTTCTTCCCTTAATTTTAAAATATATGTATATTCCCTATATAGGATTCCAGGGTACCTATCATGGAATAAGTCGGATTCCGATCAGAATTATTCTGTTTTTGTTCCATATCTTTCATTCTTGTCTTCGTTTCAATTTGTTTCATGATAGTAGGTGCCCAGTTCATTCAAATCTATCGAAATCTGCGTAAATATTCAAAGAATCAAAATATTTGAACTCTGAATATTTATCGTACATTTATGGATAAATTTTACAACTCACTTGAAACTGAAATAATAAATTCAACGAAATCAACCTTCGTGTAAAAGTTAGATTAGGGTTATGGTTTACAATTTAATAATCTTGAGCATAAAAAAGAAATATATAAGTTAATAATCTCTAAGAATATTCAAAAACTTTAATATCACAAAATTAGTTTCCGGAAAATATTTAAAGTATTTCAAAAAAATTAACCAAGCGATCAGGAAATAATACAAATTACAATATATATCTATGTATATTTTATACCACAGATAATACTTTATATTTTTCTACATCAATGATATCTTTTCAAGCAATTGAAAATTATACTGAAAATCAAAATATAATAAACATTCGCAAGACTGTATTATTATCAATCAATAAGCAGCAGTTACTTAATTTGCATATACTTTTCGTATAATACGATAACAGATATATGTATATATACACATAACTCGTCACTTTGCGATTAAAATAATTTGACTTTGATAACTGTTTTTCGATAATGACAATTGTGTTACTGAATGATTATATATTATTTGTTCAAGCAGAATTTTTTATTAAATCACAAAATTAAAACTGATTAATAAAGAGAGAATTAAAATTATTATTTAATTAATGCCTGTGTATAAATTCTATGAAAATTATTTTCAAATTATATACATAAAGGGAGACTATACAAAGTAAATATTTTTATAGAATTTTTTTAATAGTCCAATTTTACAATTTTTTAAAAATTAGATATCAAAATAAAAAAGAAATTGATTACGGAAGTCCAGAGTGTTACGAAGAAAACGCAAAGTGTCCCATCTGTTAAAGAAAATATGAAATGAATAATTATATTAAAACACATATTATTGAATATATTTTATTGATATATTAATTATTCGGAAAAAAGTACATTATTGAATGGATTTTATTTAATTAGTAATTAATAATTAAGATAATCGGAAAAATATATGAGGAAATAAGGGGCAGATTCAGATAAGATAGAAATAAATGTAAGACCCATCATTTTTCAGCATTCTTTATTGAAAAAAAAAATTTTTTTCAATTCGTATCACTTGCGTGATATAGAATCCTAAACGGTAATGCCTGAAGTTATACTTCGGTGGTTCCGGGCATCCGGCGATAGGCTTTCCGCGGTAGCGCAGAATAGGGGGAGTTTTTAGTTGGTAGGCGGACCTGGTCATGTGAAGGCAAACATTGGCATTGGTCCCGTAAAGTAGTCTCTCTGGAGCGAAAGCTGGGCCTCTCCTCCGCCTGGAAATTGGCCCACAAAGTGAGTAGCCCTCTGACGAAATTCGGGCCTGGCCTGAGCCCCACTCTCCAGGCGATGTCCGAAACCAACACACCCATCGTGCGCGGTAATGGGTGTCTTCCTCGGTTAAGTTCAAACTCCTTCGGGAGGACTGCCTAACCGAGGTACATATAAGAAGATTTTCTCCTCCTACGCAAAACAAAAAAAAACGGTAATTATTGTGAAAATCTTCTATAGGCGAGGGAGGGGGACAAGTTTTTTCTTCACTACAACCCTTGACCATTTTATGACAAATTCGATTGGACGCATTAGTGCGCACTGGTGCATATTGAAACCGTTGTACACTAATTTCATAGCGTTCTCTCTTGGCTGTACTATCGCCCACTATAAGTGCAATACTCAAACAGTGTACCGTGTTTCCATGGCTGGTGGTAAGCGAATTCATTCGGTGTACCGTGTTTCCGTGTTACCGTGTTACGGTGTAGTGCAAATTCTATGCACGAAGTAGGATTTTGCTACACCATCTCAAAGGGGTGTAAAGCCAGTGTGACATTTAAAATTTGAAAATGGAAGTCAAGCGGGAATAGGATTTTAGCGCAATAACGAAGATTAGGTGTGCATCACTCAAGCGCAGTGTGGCTGAGTGTAGCGCTTACACGCGACTAGTGCGTTGTGAGGTTGCATCCAGTGTATCCCAAAGGAAAACGCTATAATTGTAAAAGCGAAATGTGCAAATATTTCAAATTATAAAATACACCTAACAGCACAATAAAGTATATTGAGTATTTCACGATTTAACCAGTTTATTTATGTTTATTTATAAACATATCTTTACGTTAACTTGTACGACGGATTTAATGTGCACCAGTGCGCATTAAATACGTTCAATCGCGCGAATTCGCTATTCAGTCATTTCCAATCTATCTTATGCGTCTTGCGTTATGAAATTCTTTGTTAATTGCATTTATTTCGTATCCATTTTTTATTAAAAGGAATGTAATTCGATACCCTTTTTATGCGTGCTTGGCATATATCTTTTCTTTTTTAAAGACTTGTTTTAGAGATTTAATTGTTTTTTGTTTGTAAATTTTTGAAAACGTAATGTCGTCGAACGTAACGCCCGGTATCCTCGTCATCGCCCAAAGTTGCCCAGAGTCGCTTGGCATCGCCCGGAGGTGCCCGGCGACAAAATTTTACGATAAGATTTACGTATTTCGCATATCATATATGATGCATTTAAATCTTATTCATATGCGAAGAAAATATTTTTATTTTACATCACTGTTCTTTATATTTAAATATAATATTAGATCTAATTAATGGATGGATTAACGAACGAGAAGATATATAAAAAAAATCATATTACTTATTCATTATTCATGTACATATAATTATACATTTATATATTTCTCTCTTAAAAATAATGGGTATATATAAGGATAATCGTTATGAACAAAAAAAAAAACGTATTAACTTTCATGATTTCTTTATTAAAAAATGCTGTATTTTCATCCAAATCCTCACATAAGTGAAAATAAATGTCTCATGAAGAAAAAGATATTACTTTTTACAGCACCATCTTTATTACATCCGTCTTTCATCAATGACTCCATTGCAGTAATAATCAAAATTTTACTGAAAATAATGATTGAAATATAAAAACTCTGTATTCTCTTTTAAAACGCTTAAATATAATTTGTAAATAAATGATATGAAGAGTATAATACATTGCAGGGCAGGTATCATAAAATTATTCAGAATAGATTCCGGTCGGAATCGCGTTCAATTATTCCCTAGATTTCTATTGTTTTCTTCTTTGAAAACAAAATATTTCTGATCTGAATCCATTCCAAATATTTCCATAATACGTCCTAGTATAAAATTTATATTATTTTAATTTTTTATTACTTTCTTTCTCTGTATTATTTTAATAAAAACTAAATATTAAATTATTAGCATATTAATATGAAATTTTTAGAAAATAAAAGTAACCATATTTAGCTAATATTCCTCATATTATAATTCTTTTTTACTTAATCTTTAGTAAATTAATGGTCAAACAAATCATTCTGTTACCAACCAATTTGATAGATTTCAGCTATGTATAGACTCATTATCGTCCATATCATCATCATCAAATTTAACGCTTTTGTTATCTTCTTCATCGTGTTCATCTTGAACATCTTGATCGGACATCTCTTCCCAATTGTCATCGGATTCGCTGCTTAGGTCAACATCGTCTTTATCGGCACCTTCATCCGACGAATCTGCATACATTTTTGATAACGTGATTTAATATATTGATTCGATAAAATTTTAAAAGTCGGTATGCCATATTAACCTGGATCTTGATAAACAAGCAAGCTTTCCTCAGTTATGTCCTTGTTGTGTTCTTCATTAGCCTGAGATATTTGTCCTGTTATAAGAGAAACTCTGCCTTTTAATCTTTGTACAGCTGTTAGAAGTGCTAACTTTGCATCAATAAAACTTAGAATAGGGCTGAGTATTTCTGCGATATCTGGTCGTGACATTAAGTGCGCTGCATGAGTCATTATTAAAGTTTGCAACCACATGACTGCAATTTTGTTCCTAAATAAAATAATCAGTCTTTAGAAAATAATTCACGTAAATTTTTTAAAGTTTCAGAATAAATGAAATTTAAAAAATCTATAAATGAAAAAATAGAATATAATTACGCATATGTTTTGCCTTGCAACATAACAGTTAATTCTTTAAGCAACGGTATAATTGCTTGCACTGGTAATCTTGCAATGGTATTACGAATTACAGCTTCATTTTTCGTAAATAACACTGTTGTCAAAATGGTTTTATCTTTGCTATTTAATGCTTGCATCAGTAATTGCGTCATATTGGCTCCTTTCATTGGTGTCCTCCCTGGTGTGTTCGCATCTGCATTTAAACTAAGATTTTCCAATCTATCTTTTAAGAGTAATTGAGAGCCTGAGGTAGTTCTATTTCTTTTTTGTGTTGAAACTTGCATTCATCATCGATACATTGAACTGAACTATTTTTTTTCATAATAAACTGTAAGAAGTAAAAAAGAAAATACATAATTACGAAAAACGTCACCTGGTGCGAGATATTCAACATCTTCTTCGATCGCAGTAGGTTTTACTTTAGAAATTGTCTCTTCTTTCCTTTCTTTTGATTTTTTTGTATCTAATCTTTCCGATCTAATTAAACATTGTACTTTGT